TAAGAGGAAGCATTACATACTGTGAAGATCTCTACACTTCCTTCATTCCATCCATTTGATCTCATACATAGTCCCTTAATCCTCCGATTTTGCGCGTGGGTTCAGAAACAGATTCCAGATTTTCTTTAAGTATGAAAGTCTTTGAGTGGTAATCGAGTCAATCATTCCTGGAATCCCATTATAGCCTGGCTAAAGTGTTCCTAGGTCTTGTAAATCGGATGGAGCTTTCTAGAGAACTGTGGTATCGGTTCCCGATTCCAGAGGCGCGGTAGGTTTAGGTTGTTTGGAGACGGGTAGAACTCATGGTCTTATGTCTAGTAAGCAACATCACTACCACTGCGCAACCAGCGTCTTCCTTATTTGTGCTGTTTAATTTTGACTTCTGGTTCTGTGAATTGATATTTCGAATGACTGGGAGTTTGGATACAGAAACGAAGAAGCAGTTGGAATCGGATGTTGGACCACCATGCATTACGTGCTTATAGCATTGTTTTCAGTATATTTTTACAAATGAATATGCAAAATCCAAAGGAAATAGACCAATACGTACGATGTTAAGCTAGCACTATTGTTCTCAGATATTTTCATGTTTATGCGTGGGGAAATGGAGTTTCCAGTGCCAATTTGTATTTCTCTCCGCGTTCAAAGTATTTGTTTTTTATACGTACCTGGATACTTTAATGGCTGGTCTTCACTGTACTGCTTAGGTGCAAGCTTAATTCCCACTTTTTCGGAGATTTCCTGGCTTAGACATCCTAGTTTCCTGGACTTCCGAGGTCAGCCTAGCCAAAGTCAGCCCCGGATCGTCACTACCACAGCCAGTCGCCGCTCTTCTGGATTAGAGGGATATTTCCCACCATGCGTCTAGTTTGATACCAGGACGGTGGTGGATCCTGGCATTGGTTTACTCTTAGCTGGGCTTCCTGATGGAAATGAAAATTTGCTTTTTACAAAAAGCTCTCGGTGTTGATCAATCTCTGACGGATGCGCCATGGATTCGACTTCATTAAATATCGCTGGAGGTGATTGGATGCATATCTGGCCTTTACAATGACTCGTGGTGGCCTTCTGATGTATCGAGACAGTGCCGCTATCCTCCCAGACAAGTTTGGTACCAATTTACCGACCCCGGAGGGATGGAAGGCTTGGTGTGTCTTGGGCGCGGGGATCGATTTTACGTGCGTGTCGCAGTGGTGCCTGGAACCAGTGTGCTACACGCGCTCTTCTTTGCTCTTTATAACATTTTAAATTTAATATTCACGTGTGCATATATTTAAAGAAGCGTCAGCAATGTTTATATAATTGTCTTTGCAACGAACTTCCATGTATTTATGAGTTACAGTGAATGCTTAGTAAACAAGGAAAGCGGGTTACTTTTCCCTATTATTGGTTTAGGTATCGACTGTTCGTTGTTGTTTTCGAAGTTATTGTTTTTACTAAGGCTTTTTGAGAGCGTTTATTTGCCTGCACTCTATTGTTTGCACTGCGGGCACAGCGGGAAAAATTTTTAACAGAAGCTTCATCTTGAAGCCTTTGCAAAATTCATAGTGTAAGACATTGCAGTTCACTGTTCTTTAAAGCATTTCACATCCTGGTTTCTCCTTGATTATCTTTCAACTTTTTCTTAATGAACCTAGTGATAATGTGTGGTGTATCCTCCATTTTAGTGTTGTCTTGAAAATTCTAGAAAGGTCTAGGAGATTTATGAATACCCCCATCACGGTTATGTATGGGAGTTACGAGGGCTTCCATAAAAATGACAGCATATGTAGAGGTATACAGTTGTGCATGCATGAGGAAATGCTTTTTTCGAGCTCTAATATGTTTCTCGATATCTTTGTACTGCAAACCATATACTGTTTTGTATGTTGTCGTAGACAAATCTTGCCTTAGAGCGCATGAAACTTCCATTATCACCCGTTTGAAATTCAAAACTCGATGAAATGGAAGTTAATCAGGCGTTCCGTATGGTCACGATTGCTACTTCGCTACTTTATTGCGAAAAAAAACTTTAATTGTCTCTTCAGCGACCTTGTTTGTCTTAAGCAGAGTAATTTGAAAAAAAGATAAAACTCTCGGCGTTGATGAATCCGATAGGGATGCGCCATACATTCGACTTCATTAAGCTTTGTTGGAGGCGATTGAATACATATCTGGGCTTTAGGATGACTCACTGTGGCATACCGATGTATAGAGCCAGTGCTGCTATCCTCTCAGAAAGTCTGGTACCAATTTGCCAACTCCGGAGGGATGGAGGGCTTAGTGAGCCTATGGCGCGGAGATCGATCCTACGCGTGTGTCGCAGGGCGCACCCGACCACTGCGCTACACACGTCCTTTAGCAGATTAGTTAGAGCAACTTATTTTCCACTGGGACTATTGTCAGCATCGTCACTAGTACCACTTTTTTCCCTTTGTTTAGATTGTTCAGACGACTTTATAGATTGTTACTTTTTTGCGGAATTTGTTTCGGGTTTCATGTTATGCCGAAGTCCCAAAGGTTAACGAATGTCCTTTAAACATAAGGTGGGCAGTTTATGAATGCATAACTCTGCTGAAGTATTCGAATATTCCTATAGTTATTCCAGCAATCACATGCGAAAATGGGAAATTTCAGAAGTCATTATTGGGATTTGAGAACGAAGCTTTAGATATCTTGTCGTCGAGGAAAGCCTGCAATTTAGCGGCCATTAGGTTTCTGCTGTCTAAAAGTCAATATTGATTCACAGTTTCTTGTGAGGTGTGATTTCATGACATATTTGGCACAACTGGGATTTCTGAAGAATTCGACGGAAACCTCAGTTTCTTTTGTCTATGAATTTTTATTTCCCATAATTGACACGTTATACCGAAATAACGACGTGTTCCGGAAGATATGAAATTATGAAACGATATTGTTGATTCCAAACTAAACTATTATGGAACAAGGTGGTTCAAGTATCCAGGAGTTGTTAATTCACCTAGTTCTTTATAGTTACTCTAGTCGGCTACTCTCTTTATTTGCCTCGGCTGCTGAAACAACTCTGTTCTCCTCCTCTGAAAATCGATTGTCCTGTTTTTTCCCCGATCGATATTCCAGCAGTTTCGCACTGTCTGCAGCTCAATGGGCGTGTTAGCCTAGATGTATTCAATAGCTTCCATAGAATTGAGGTAATGTAGTTAAAACAGTTTCATTCAAATGGTGTTTCGATCGGTCACCGTCCAGTCCGCTTTTAAAGTGATCAGATTTATGCTGCTTTTTATGATCGGCTGATAGTGTTTGTAGCAGCCATCGAGCGTTTTAACTGCTCTTCGTTGTTTAAAGTATTAATGAAACTATCTAGATTGTTTCCTTTACATTAAAGCCTTACGTGTTTCTTTTATAGCGCTATCTTTATGGGATACGTACCCTTTAATCGCAGCTGTTTTAGCACGACAGACTTTCTATTAACCTCAACGTTGATCAAATAATTCTTAATATCCTTTTTGAGGAAGATTGTGTTGTGCTAAGTGCTTTAACACTTCCTGTCTTTGGTTACGGAGCTGCTTGGCTTGGTAAATAGCTGCCAACTTTACCTTTCCAGGCTCTGAGGAAGGCGAAATCCGCCGAAACGTCAGCATGCTCGTGAGTAAAGAATAAAATAAGACGTCGCTGTTTTGTTAAGTTCTTCTTGGTATGCATGTCCATAAGTGCTGAATACCAACAGTGGTGAAGTGGTCTTGCCCAAATTTGTATTAATTAATATTTTGACGAGTTTTTTCTTTTATACTTACTTATTTGATACTTGAACGGCTCGTTATCACTAGCTGTGCGGGCCCCAGCATAATCACCATTTTTCGGAGATTTTCTGGTTAAGCCATTGTGCTTCCCTGGAATCCCGAGGACAGCCTGGCCAAAGTCTGGCCCAGGCCGTCACCATGGTAGGCAGTCGCAGCCCTTGTGGATCGGGGGGAGACTTACCACCATGTGACTGTTATACCAAGACAGTGATGGATCCTGGTGTTGGTTTACTTTTAGCTAAGCTTCCTGATGGAAACGCCGGAGTCCTTCTCAGCTTGCGAGACCCTGACGGGTGGGGCGGGGGGTTGGACGAATCCTTCCGCTGTATGTCGCAGTCCGACACTCAGGAGCACCTCGCAGCCACGATAAGGCGGTAAACCGTTGGGAGCTTTTCTTTTATTTTTTCGTGTAATGTTATGGTATACTTTTTGCATTTTCTCTACTTTTTTTAGTTAGGAAATGCTCGTCCAGTCCTGAATAAAGTTCGACTGCTGATTGTTTAATGTAGCAAAGGTTGATATGTTAAGCTGCAGTACTCTGGTACTACCAGTTTGCTGATGCTGTTCATTATACCCTGCTGGATTCGTTTTCTATGGAAGGGAAAAGAGTCCAGACAGGTTGTCAAGTCCAGACACAAGGAAATGATGTTGACATAAATTTAAAGTCACGTCAAGCGTCTAGCGCAGTGGTCGGAGGTGCGCTGCAATACACATGGGATCGATCCCTACGCCCCTGGCTCAGAAAGCCTTCTCTCCCTCCAGGGTCTTCAAATTGGTTCTGAACTTTTCTGAAACGATATCAGGACTGGCTCCATAGATCGGTAGACCACCGCGAGTTATTGTAAAGGTCAGATATGAACTCAGTCACCTCCGAACGATCCTTGATGAAGTCGAGTGCATGGCGCATCCGTCAGGGATTGATCAACCCTGAGAGCTCTATCTTTGTTGTCGTTTAAGCCAGTACTTTTGTTTACATTGATAGTCCACATGTGATTTTATGTTAACAGGAAATTTATTGGTTCATGGATTGATCGAAAGTCACTTGTTTTGGTAACAGTGGAGGTATTACCATTACAGAAGCTTTTTATTATTCCTTAAAATGTGTTCCTATGGATTTCTTCTCCAGTTGTATATTTTCGGTTTTTTTGCAATTTTTCGTTCCATTGTAATTTAGAATAAGTAGGTTTTTTCGTCATTTCACAATTAAAATTTGTCAATTTTTATATCTGAGGATTTTAGTTCATGCTGCCATTGCTGCCGTCCTATCTGGTGATTGTAACCCTTGGGCTCTCCTTAGCCTGTACATTGACGCTGTTCGTCCCATCGTGTCCTTCGATTGTTCCAGCGCTTACCACATATGGCGTCTCAGCACTTTATCTTAGAGATAAAATTAAGTTCATACAAATTATTTCTGTCCCTAAAAGGTTTGCGCTTTCCAATTATTTATCACATTTGAAGAGAATGGATTCCGTAGAATTGAATTCTATTCGAGAGGATTTGTTGCAGATGGTTTTGGCACTTTTATTTGGTCGGTTCATGCTGTGCTATGTTTTGGCTGCTTTTCTGTGGAGCCATTTCGTACGATATGACATCTCCTTCTAAGACGCTTAAAAGCGTGCTTGGATTGCTGACTTCGGCGAAGCCTCAGTGTAAAGCTAGCATTTTTATTTTTTATATGTCTCTATCAAACTTATTAGTCTTTAGTCGGTTCAGAGTTACGTAACACAGAAAACGAGCAAACATTTGCTGAGAACTGTTAGCAGATGGGATATTGTATGGTTCTGACCCTCTCGTTGTATAGTTATAAATTCTTCACAATGGCCTTTTCTATTATGTTTGCGAACACATGGTTGATATGCTGAAACTAGCCTAGAGACGTAAAGTTGCTTTAATGCTTTCTTTTAGATAATTGGTCCACCACTATACTAGCTCTGTTTTTGATTTTATTCCACGTGGTGCGCAGACTGTGGGAAACCGTGAGCACATCTGATTTTTTTCGATGGCGTTTCTTTTACCTTCTTTGAATTATTCATTTACAGCTCTGTATTTCTGTATATTCTGATACTACAATGAATATTTTTCATTACATTGTTGGCCTGGTTCACTACACTATCCTACCACTTACGATTATGTGTGAGTCACAAGGGTTTGCTGAGGGCAGATATAGTAAGTGATTTTCTTCTTAGTCTTGGTTCTTTAATTTTTGCGAGAAATGGTGTTCATTGAATGACTAAAAGCTAAAAAAAAGCTCCCGGCGTTGATCAATCCCTGAGAAGTGCCCTATTGACTATTAAGCATCATTTGGAGGTGATTGAATGCATATCTGGTCTTTACAATGACTCGCGATGGCCTACCGATGTATTTAGCCAGTGTTACTATCCTCCCAGACAAGTCTGGTACCAATTTGCAAATCCCGGAGGAATGAAAGGCTTGGTGGGCCATGGGCGTGGGAATCGATCACGTGTGTACTGCAGGGCGCCTCCGACCACTGCTACACGCTCCCCTGTTGAATTATTATTTTCAGTAAATACCACTTCAAGTTCTCACGAATTTGCAGCAATGGAATGCATTGGTTTCTTTACCTTTAAAGATGGAATTCACAGGTTTCTGAGCAATTTTGTTATCATCAAACCCGTTTAGGTCTTGCGTTCACTGCCAAGGCGATTTCTCCTTGGCAGTGGTTTGGAACCGCATTCTTTTTGATATGTAATCGAGAACAGCATCGTATTTCGAGGGATATCGCTGCGTTAAGAAGAGCTCCAGACGGTTTGTTGCATTTATGGTGAACTTTACTTTTTCTTTAAGTGATTTGGTGTTGTCCCAGCTACCAATCATTGTTTCCTTCTCAGGTTCAGGACTGATATTCAATTACTGTTATGGGATTTGCTATGGCGGATGGTTCGAATATGTTTCATGCCCTCATTTCCTGTTCGAAATAGGGATTTATCTCTCGCTTTGGATGGTTCTTTGGCGTGCATATGCTTTCCGAGTATGTTTTCCATTGTCGCAACGTTTCAGCTGAAACTGATTTTTTTTTCTTCAGTAGCAGAAGCACTCTGTATTTCAGTTTCTTGCAATATTTGTTGTTGTAAACCAACTCTTCGCAGGGCTGATTACTCATCGTTGGTACCAACGGACGTTTAAAGCGTATCCTTTAAATCGTAGGGCAGTGGTGCCCTATATCTTATGATTCCTATGCGCTTTGCAAATAAGTCATATCCGTCGTTCACGTTTGTGATAAGGGCGTCCGGTGATGTTCAGAGTTTTTGGACGTTTTGCAAAATTTGAAATCCCTTCTTAAACGTGTAATTGCAGCACTTCTACAATATACACCTTACTCATTGATGGGATGTGATAGAGTCGCTAGTCTATACATTTTTATAGTGTTTAAAATGAAATACTCGCTTCTAAAGCTCGTGACGTAGTTCAAAGGTGTAAATAATGGTATGCTCGGTAGAACATCCTTAGTGTCTAGTCATCCTAATAACTTATTCGCTTTCTTCGTACTTTTAAGGCATTGTACCTTTTCTGGTTATGTTTCTACCTTGTATAAATGCTTTAGCAACCTTTTTCCGCTAGGCTGAGCCCGCTGGCTTTTTTTCTCTAGCTGAAAGTTATTGTGTTACACTTTCTTGGGCAATAGTGATAATAGGATCCTGGAATGATCGGGTTGTAGGATGTGTAAAAAATTTTTACTCCGATTTCATTATACACCGTTATCTAGAAAAGCAATTGTATATTACTATGTAGTCATAGCGCCTGTTACATGAAATATAGTTGATCACGAGCGACCACACGCTTTCTCAGTTACGCTAAAATCCCTTCTTACTCGAACTGGTCATTTAGATCTTTGGAACTTTCATTTCCTTGAAGATCCGAGTTGTCTACATTGGGTTCGTGCTTTTCTCCTTTGTAGTCTTGAGCTTCGCCTATTTAGTACTCACTGCCATATTTCGAGATTTTTCTTTTCTATCATGAAATAATCAAGATGTCTATTTCCTCGATTTATGCTTGGACAACGCTTACTTTGTTGATTTATATTTTAATAAACGAGATCAAAGGCGGAGTTTTCTCGTCATCCTTCTGTTCTTATTTCTAAATCTTTATGCACACTACCACCATCTCCTTTCCCAAAAACGTTTTTTAGACAGCAGGATCCTAAAGATGGAGTTGGCATAAAATTCCGCACGTTTTTGGACGGCGTTCTTTAATCACTACCGCGATAGAAAGTTTATCTCTAACCTTACAGCCGCACAAAGATGTGGCATGCGAGAAATTAGAGAATTAATAAACTCGAAAGTAATAAGATTGTCTGTTAGTGATAAGTGGGGAGAGTTCGTAGTTATCCCTCGCCAGCTGGATGTTGAGATAACAGAGGAACATCTTAGTGATGTTACCCTCTACCGCCCATCCTCTGAAAAGGAATATAAAAGTCAATATCGAAATATAAGCAATCAATGGGTCAGTGTGGGAAAGGCCGCAGGTTTAAAATCACCGGTTATCTCGAACTTTAAAATCGATAAACCAACATGTCCCGTCCTATGCCTACTTATTAAAACACATAAGTTGGTATCACCTGATGATAATACGTCAACCAATCCGTCACCATTTAAGCTTAAACCGAACATTAGCCATGTAGACGGGCCAACGGATAGAATAACCTGGTTTTTAAGCCTGATACTTAGTTGCTTAACCACATTCTAACTCACCTCACAAATACGTAACGCGTCTCCTAACACGTACGTGATGGAGTCTTTCGACGTTACCGCACTGTACACCAACGTGTCGAATGACTCCGCAATGCAGGCCATCTTCGAACTTCTTGTTGAACATGAAGGAAGAATAAATATGCATGGCTTGTCCATCCAACAGCTAATGGCTCTCTTAAAGGAGTGCCTAAACTGCTCGATTTTCAGATGGTCTGGGAAATATTTCGTGCAAATGGGGGGGACAGCGACTGGCACCAAGCCTTGCACTTGTGTTTATGTCTAAGATAGTAGCCCCTGTTCTTGATCTCCGGCCACTACTGCAGATATGTAGATGATTGTTTTGTCGTCTTCTCTACGCAGGAGGAGATGGACAAATGCTTTGAATTATTTAACGAGCAGTCCGAGTACATAAAGTTCACCCGGGAGAAACCGAGAGAAAACTGGCTTCCGTTTTTGGACGTCCAAATAAACCTATTAGGTAGCGGTTACCTGAAAAAGCGGTATCGAAAGCCAAGTAACAAGAACATCCTTGTCCATTTCCTTTCTTCCCACCCTTCACACACAAAGAGGGCGATTGTGAGAAACATGTTTCGAACAGCCACCTCTGTGTGCACTACCAGGGAACTAAAGGAAGAATCGCGCGACTTGG